ACACACACACACACACACACACACACACACACACTCTCAATGTTCCTGAACATTCCTCTGAACAGGAAACAGCAGATTACGGACGTCCCATCGCAGTCGTCCTGGAGACGGGGATGCAGAACCCAGACGAGGGGCCGGTGCTGGATCCTGATTGGCCGAGCATCCTGAGGGCCGAGGTGAGAGTTTGTGTGTTGACTTGTTTGTTGTAGAATTTTTCTTCTTGGCAGAGAAGAAGCATGTCAACAAATAAAAAATCTACTTTTAGGTGTAAAAAGTCGGAGTCATGTTGTAGCTCTGGAGACGGTGATGTCAGGTCACCGTCTTGGTCGAGACTGAAACGTCTCCTGGAAGAAGTTAAAGTTGGTGCAGATGTTCATGGTTCCCAGAGGATGAATCCTTCCTAACTGTTCCTCTGGCGCCACCATGAGCTGGAAGTTTGTGTTTTCTAGTGAAATGTTTCAGTGTCTATTGGACAGACTGCGATGACATGTAGTTCATGTTCCCCTCGGGATGAACTGTAAGAGCTCTGTTGATCCTTGTCCTTTGGTCTAGCGCCACCATCAGGTTGTATGAGATGTTGTTGATCTTTGACTGAATGTGAGAAATGTGATGATCCTCCCGTAGCTTCCTTTCTGGAACGGCTGTGAGCAGGAGGATATCTGCGTCCCCGACCTCGTGCTGCACAGTCACACTGACCTGATGGACGTTCAGTGAGTAACACACACACACACACACACACACACACACACACACACACACACACACACACACACACACACACTTCGAGCACCGACAAACTGCGATTTCTGTGTTTCACCTGAAGGCAGTTCTGCAGCTCGAGGGAACGAGCAGCGTGGTCACTTTGCGGCCTCCAGGGGGCGACTGCGGGCTCGGTGTTTGTGGTGGAGTCTGTGCGGAGGAGGATGGGGGTGTTCGCTCGACTGGAGAACCAGGGAGAGAACGCATACGGAGCCTCCATCCACATCTCCACCTCCTCCAACCTGCTCTTCTCCAGCCTCATCGTCAAGGTCTTGTTTCCACTTTTCAGAAATAACCTGAGAGCAAACATCAGCTGCTCTTGAACAGTGAGCACAAGCTTCACATGGATAACGTCTATAACTCAGCACACGCCTCCTCTTACCCACAGGACCAATCAGATATTCAGATTGAGTGCTACGCTGAGGACAGACTGGCCAATCAGAGGTTCTGTAACGTCAGCGCTCCGTTCATGAAATCCTTGTCCCAGGTAAAGAAATCTGTTGCTCAGGTTCATTAGTTCTGGTCTCATCTGAATGTTTATTCTCTTCAGTGAAACCACACGAACACAAACTCAAAGTCAACCACTTCATCTGTCGACGACTTGTGTTGAAACTCTGGTTCACTGTGAAGGTTGGATGGATAGAGGTGTGATGTCATCAGACAGAATGAGTTGTGATCAGAGAGCAGGAGGAAGTTTCCAAACACTGGAATCCTTCATTAGCTTGACGAGCGTCCCTGTAAACATGATCATGCCCCGCCCCGTTAACGAGGCCTCGGCCGCTGGATGAGCGGAGACGTAGCCGAAGGGAAACACGAGGCCGAGCGTCAGTTACAACAAAGTCATGGAATCTCAAGCTGCTCTCTTCTTCCAGGTTTCTTTCCATCTGGAGTTTCAGCTCAGCCGCTCCGTCTTCCTGGACCACGTACGGGTCGTCATGGAAACCACCAGGTGAGCCCACAGAGCGGAAGTGACACAGCTGTTGATCCTCCGTGTGTCTGAGGCTGCGTCCACACGACCTCTTCTGTCCAACGATCACATGACCAGTCACGTACACTGGTCATGTGAGTCAGTGTGTGTGTGTGTGTTCTGACCTGTGTGTGTGTGTGTGTGTGTTTTCAGTGAGGGTCAGGAGGGTTTTCCAGATGACAACATCAACGACATCTTCCTTCCTCTGAAATATCAAACTGATCTCCTCTTCACCAGGTGAGTCACAGAGTCAGGTGATGTCTTGTTCTGTCGGGTCGTCCATCTTTATTAACGTTCATCCTCTGTTCCCCGGACAGAGACCCTAACCCTCCTCGGTTTGAAATCAAATCCTCTTCCTCCTCTTCATCCTGGGACCAGCCGGACAGCAGCTCGTCCACCTTCAACCTCACCTACTACGTGAGTTAGGAAGACAAACTTCATCGATCATAAACGCTGCCACGCTGCGTTCTGAATAATCGGACTCAGAGGAATCGTATGTATTGAAAATAGCAGTGGGCCAAGAGTGGACCCTTGAGGAACTCCACAGTCATTCAGTACGAACACAGAGGAGTTTCTATTGGGGAGCTAACATAGTGGATTTCCTGTTGTCAAAGGAATTCTGAGATGTGTCGGAGATCGTTGACTAAGAGTTCGTGACAGTTCATTATTGCTCCGCTCTCAGATCCAGAACCTGGGCATCTTCTCCGTGTACGACGTCCTGTTCAGAGCTGATATCTGGGCTGTGACCCTGCAGGGGAACCAGCTGCTGAACATCACAGACTACAGCATCACCCAGGTAACGCAGCAGACCTGTCAATCACAGCTGATGATAATCTCTCCTCCAGGTTAACAGGGAGGACGTCACATGTCACTATTCACACCTGGGTTTTAATCTTCTCCTGGACCAGAAACTCTTCCAACAGAGGATCGTTAAAGAAACATCACACATCATGAGAATGAGCAAATGAAAACATGAATTAGATTTGAGTTGTTGGTGAATTAACGTTTATAGAACAGTGGACGTCACATTAGAGAAGATCTGTTCACTGCACCGTGTCACTTCTGGAGCAGTCGTCCTCACGGGACTTATCTTTGTCCTCTCTGCAGGTACCAGGCTCCGTCTGCACACTGCCTCAGCTCAGGACCAATCAGATCACAGCTGAGGACCTGTCTCCACTGTCCCAGCTGGTGAGATGCAGAGTTAGAGTCCAGGACACAGACTCTGTTCAAGAAGTTTTTATTTCATCTGTGTGTGTGTGTGCGTGTGTGCGTGCGTGTGTGCGTGTGTGCGTGTGTGCGTGTGTGTGTGTGTGTAGAACCACAGTAACAGTGTGAACATGGCGGTACAGTGTCGACTGAACCTCCCAGCCTCCAGAGAGGTGAAGGTGACGCTCAGAGGACGACTCCAGCTTCCTGCTCTGCTCGCTGTGAGTCAACATCAAAC